CGTACTTGACCTGGAGGTTCTCATCTTAGGGACGCAGTGAGGCAAGGCAGACCAGGAGTTAAAGCATTTTCAACGTCTAAGAATAGGCGGTAGGCAAGAGAATGAAAAGGTAAGTATGACAAGCCATGGAAACACAGAAATCACACCGGTGTCGGTGTACTGCCTTTGGGGTGCCCGCAGCTTTCAGCTAGCCTGTGCCTTGACAAAGATGCCTGGGGCCCTCTGGCCAAGGTGTAGTGGCCAGGATGAAAGCCTCCTTAAGAGAGAGGCAAGTGGGCCCAAGCTTCTGAGCTGTGTTGTGAGTTTCGGGTTCCAGCTTGACCTGCCTCGAATGCAAGCTGGGCCATCTTTCACAAGCCAGAGTCTGCAACTCAGGGACCCCTCCTCCTTCCATGCACAGCCGTAATCAATGTGATGAATCTAGTTGTCTTTATGGAGGAGACTTAAGATGCGTCGGTTAGAAAGCCTTCTCCCTTCTCCCTGCACAGCGCTGGCTTCTTGGAATTTCTGTTACTCTGGATTTGATCCAGTTTAGCAGTAACTTGAGTTTTCTTGCTTTTGTCCGTTTGTTCGTTTGTTTGTTTTTTCGGTCTTTTTTTGGACTTAAGTTAACTCTTGTCACCTGATGTCATCTCCGGGATTTATGTGCGGTCTGAAGAGGGTTGCCCCCCTTTGGGAGGACAGGACAGTGCATTTGTATTCTTTGGCCATTCATTTGTTTTCTTGTCTCCTGCCTCGTGCTAGGGACTAAGTGAGAAGATGAAAGGACACGGCCTTTGAATTTTGATACACCAGGAGGAAACAAACCAAAAAACCCAATCCCATCACTGCGAACTCAGAACTGGACTGTTGAGGAGGCAGAATGAGAACATATTGAAGAGGCTGCAGATAGCTGGCCTCAGGGAGTGCATCAATCAGCTTGAACTGCGTAGCTGCAGTAACAAACGAGCCCAGCATTAGTGGCGATAAACAAGATTTTCTTTTTTTAGATTTATCTTTTTTACATTAATTTCCACCAGAGCTGCAGATCTGCTTCACATTCTTTTCCTTCCGGGGTGATGATGTAGCCTCATTCTCTTAGCGGGAGAGCCTTAGTGATGATGGCTTCCCCCAAGTTCCCTTTGTCACTCCCATGTACATTTTATTGACCAAAGCAAGCCAGCTGACTGAAGTCACATGGTAAATGGATCAGGAAAATGATCTTTCCACATGGTCAGCAGATGGGGAAGGCTGGCAAATAGCTGGACTAGTTACACAGGCCTCTACATCTCCCTGGAGGAGGTGATGCTTAGGCTGATCTCTCACGCAGACGAAAATAGAAGGAAATCCCTGCACCGAGAGCCTCATTAGCTGCAGTCACAAGGGACTTGGCACATTCCCCTCACACTGAAAAGTCCTAAGCTCATGTTGTCCAGCCTTGATCACCACGTTTAGTCCCTCCTCCCTTTTAAAGACCGGGTGTCAGGTAGCTCAGGCTATCCCCAAACTCACTCATGTAGCTGAGTATGACCTTGAATTTGTTATCCACCTCCTAAGTGCAGGCTTTAGAGGTGCTGGGGTAGCAGGCTTTCTAAATGATGTGCTTAAGTGCCTGCAACATCCCTGGCAGACAGGCACCCTTAAGAGGCAGGGATCATCTGGCTGCCACAGTATTTTAATCCCTGAAGCCCTGAGGCCTGGCGTGTGGTGGGGATGGATTGGTTATGTGGGTCACCTGTAAGTGACCCTAGCTTCTGAAACATCCCATCTGCTTGGAACAGCTGAGGGCTATGGAGTCTGAACAAACCTGAACTAACCTGGCCCCTGTCACATTGTCAGCCTCCCTCTCTCCTTTCACAGTCTGCTTTTCTTTGGGTGGAAGAGGAAGGCCATCTCTTAGCCAAGGTGCCTAGTGACAAATGCTGCAGAACAAGAATACATTTGTGTTATTTAGTCGTGAGTGTTAGACATTTTGCTTGCCTTTCTTTCCTCCAGGGTATTTTGCTTGTCCTCCTCCTCTGGTGTTCCAGGTACCGCAGGCAGCCCTGGGAGATTGGTTAGTGTCAGGTCTGAGTGAGGAATCACACATGACCGAAAATTCCGCCTCACTGGCTGAAGTTAAAGCGCTGGGATTTGTCTCTTAGGTTCACATATCTACAACGTCTATAGGGCAGAGTGGACTTCAGATGTGGCTTCTTGAAGTGCACACATACATGGACCTTGCCCAAGCATCTGTGCTCAAAGATGCTGGTGATTAATGCCACTCCCAGCCTTAACTAGAGTGCAGCAAACCATGGCTGCTCAAAGTGTTGAGAGGAGGTGAAGGCTGAGTGTTCCGTGTTTATGATAATAAGCTCCTGTGTGTGTGTGTATGTTTCTGTCTGTCTGTGTCTGTGTGTTTATCTGTAAGTGTTGGGCAAAGGATGATGTTTTGAGACAGGGTTTCTCACTGAGTTGAAGCTCAGTGATTCAGCTTGACTGGGTAGCCTGTGAGCTATAGACATCTTCCTGGCTCAGCCTCCTCCATCCTAGTTGTTGTGCCATGGATAGTGGTGCCCAGATTTTACATGGATTCTAAGGATAGAACTCAGGTCTCCTCGTTTCCATTGCAAGCACTTTACTGACTGAGCCATCTTTTCTGTTTAAGGAGTTAATTTTAAGGCCTGCCTTAAAAATTAAAGTTTGTTTAAAAAAAAAAAAAAGCCAGCCATGGCCTTTAGTGCCAGGCAGGACTCAGGAGGCAGAGGCTGGCAGATAGTTGAGACCAGCCTGGTATACAGAGTGAGTTCCAGGTAGAGATACACAGAAAAATTCTGTCTTAAAAAAACAAAACAAACAGAAAATAAATAAAGAGTAAGTGGGGCTGGAGAGATGCCTCAGTGATGAAGGGTACTTGTTGCTTTCCCAGGATGCTCCGGCAGTTCACAAGCACCTGTAACTCTAGCTCCAGGGGATCCTGTGCCATCTTCTGGCCTCTGCCAGCACCCACACACCTGCAACGGCATACACAGAGTTAAACATAAATAAAAATTATATATATATATATATATATATATATATATATATATATATATATATATATATATATATATATATATATATACCAGAGCTAGCAATGAAATATCGGAACTAGTCAAGCACACCCAGCCGGTCACCTGTGCTTCCCGTCTCTGGAAGCAAAGAGCACACGAATGTCTTCAGCTGGATCTCACCCACAAAGGTGTTTTTGTTTGGGCTGCAACATATTAAAAAGTAAATAATCAAAACTAAACAAAAACGGCAGATTAAGAGACTGTTACGGTTTTCCATGTAGACTTTGGGCATCTTTGGCTAGTTTGATTTCTGCAGAGTGGGAAGATCCAGCAACTCAGGGCCCACACCCCTACTCAGAAACCAAAGGTTTTGCAAGGGAAACATCAGATGAAGAAATGAGATGACTAATATACTATCCATTAAATAAACGTAAGTAAGTAAAGAAAAAACTCAGAGGCCATTTTCAATGCAGCCTTGTCTCCCACTCTCTTTAGGGCTCATGCCTGTCATCTAAGGCACTCACCCGGCTCTTCCTTGGTTTTGAGTCTGCGGCATGTATTGCCAGAGATCTGAAGATGATGGAGGACAGTAGAAGATGGGATTACTTCCCAGGTGACCTGATCTAAGGTCAGCTCCTTATTCTGAGGTTCTGTGCTTCGTTTTACAGCACTCTCCATCCCTGGACCCAAGCAAGTCCTGAACACCTGCTCCTGGGTGAACTCTGAGGCATGCTGGGAGTTCTATCCATCTGAACCTCAAGACACACACACACACACACACACACACACACACCATGCATGCATACACGCACACACACAAATTCATATAGAGATAGCATGTATGGTAAATATAAATGATAAGTTTAATTTGCATGTCTCTCTGTGTGTGAGCATGAACATGCCATGCCATATTTGTAGAAGATAGAGAAGAACTCACGGGAGTCAGTCCTCTCTTTCCACCACTTAGGTTCTGGGAATTGCTAGCCCCAATTGTGCCAGAGGAAGTGCACAATCCGGTTGCATTGAGTATGTTCTTGATGTTCTATGACCTTCAGCACTATTGATTTCCAGGATGTGCTCATCCCTAACAAACTCCGTTCCCATTAAACACTAACCCTGTCCCAGCAGTCACCAGCAGCGACCAGTCTGCTTTATGAATTTGTCAATTCTAAGAGCCTCACTTAGGAGGAATCAGACAGTATTTGCCCTTTCATGTCTGGCTAACTCCCAGAATCATTCGTGTTGTAGTGCGTCGGAATCTCATCCCTTTTTACGGCTCAGCATTTGACCATATGAACACACACGTTCTTCCTGTTTTCATCCATGGATAGGCACCTGGATCGTTTCTAACTTTGGCTAGTGTGACTAATGCTGTCAAGACAGGAACGTTCCGGTGTTCCCTGGAGTCCCACTTTCTATTTGTTCGGGTATGTTTTCCTGTCACATTTTCCCCTAAGTAACCAATCTCCAGGTCTCTCTCCTTCCCAGTGCTCTGCGGTGTGAGGAGCACCTAGCATTTCACAGATGTCCCTGGAGCAGCAGCTCTCAGACAAAAGTTGGAAGTCAGGTAGGTGCCCCTGTGCCTGGCTTCCATGCTGGACGTCGCCTTCTTGAGGTCAAGGCTCTCCTCTCATGATGTGGCTGGCGCATTGTCAGGACAAGAGACTGGGATGTGGTATGTTTTGAAAGAATCAATCAAGTGAGGGAGTGCTTGAGTAACCCTCTTGCAGCTGTTCATCCTCCCCTTTCCTGTCTGGACACCTCCTCTCCTTGGACCACCTATGAGATAGGCCTGGTCCTTGTCTCAGCAAGAACCACTCTGGCTCAGTTAGGGCTTTGCCTCACTGGGCCACTTCCTACAGTCCCTCCAGCACTAGCTGGAGTCCTCAGCCCCTAGTCACCTCTGGCATGCTGGATTCTGTGTAGAGGAGCAGCTGGCTCTGGCTTGTGGGACGGGTGGGTTTGGGAGAGTCTGCTGGAGGAGAAGAGGGCTTCTGACCCTGTCAACAGTTTGGTCAGAAAAGCTCTGCCGTGTGCTTCACTGTGTTCCCCATCTCAATGCCAGGGAGGAGTTGGGAACCCCAATCCTGATTCCTGTTTTGTTGTTTTTTGAGATAGGGTTTTTCTGTGTAGCCATGGCTGTCCTGGAACTTGCTCTGTAGACCAGGCTGTCCTTGAACTCCCAGAGATCTGCCCGCCTCTGCCTCCTGAGTGCTGGGATTAAAGGCATGTGCCACCACTGCCTGTCTTTTTTTTTTTTTTTAAATAATGGTGACTAAAGTAATTTCAGTGGCTGCTGAGAAGGCTGTCCATTGTAAACCACACTCCGTCTTGGTTTAGGAAATGGAGTCTCTAGTAGGACTCCTCTACTCTTTTCAGAGGAGCTGGTTTGTGCTCTCAGAGTCCCTGCTAAGGGTGTAGTTTGATCGTTGAGGTCTTTTGTCCACTGCTTTGTGCCTAAGAATAAACACTGTCATCAGCAGCTTGAAGACCTGATGCAGGAGAAGCAGCTGCCGTCTCCTTCTCCTGAGGAGGGACCATGGAAGGAAAAGCAGGTGGCAGGAGTACAGTCAAGGCATCTGTTTCATCTGTCCCCAGCTGCCAGACTTGTTCAGCTGCCAGGGGAAAGGGTGACTGGTGTAGAAAGAGGGTCAGAGAGAAAGGGCGGAAGTGGCAGGGCAAGGTGGAGGCTTGGCAGAACAGAGATGGAAACCCACCTACAGAGAGTCAGGCTGAGGCATCTGCTCTCCTCTGTCCTTCTAAGGTGAACAGGGCCAAGGAGGAGCTGGTGTTCCTGGGCAACAGAGAGCTGGCTCTGGGGCACCTGAGGATGTTCGTGCTGACTCTTGTCTGTAGTCTGGGCTTTCATTGTGCTTGATTTTCAGGATTTGACACTTTGTTGTTGTTGCTGTTTTTGGTTTTTCTTGACAGGGTCTCTCTGTGTAGTCCTGGCTGTCCTGGTACTCACCCTGTAGACCACGCTGGCTTGAACTTTGAGATCTTTGACATTTCGTTTTTAATGTTTGGAATATTTAATGGGTATGGAAACATTTCTTCCCCAGGGTGGAGGCAGTGACAAGGAGACAAACTGGTGGCTGAAGGTGAGGTGTTGGAAGATCCCTGGGGGCCACCGCCACTTCAGCCCAAGAACTAGACAACCACCTTTCCTGATCCCTTCTTCCCTCCGTCCCCCTGACCTCTGATCCCTGACCACTGCTGGGAATACCTTCACCTATTAGTGCATTAGGAGGACAGCTGTCATTTATGGGGACCAGGAGGCTATGGGTGCTCTCTCCGTTGAGCAGCATCTGAGCCTCTACTGGGCTTTGGGACAGGAACATCCTGCTTTCCCCGCCTCCTCTCCTCTACCGTTCCCATGAGAGAAGGACACCGGTTCCTGCAAAGTGAGAGGGGAATGAAATATCCCAGAGAAAGATGAGGTGATCAGGTTAGAGAAATGAGGGTGGAAACCGCCTGGGTATGCAGTAACATTTTAGAGTAGGTGTTCATACTTTGTTTAAGTCCTGGGGAGATGAGTTAGTGGGCAGAGAGGACTGGAGTCTGGATTGCCAGAATGCCGGCAAGCTCTGAGCAGCAGTGTGAATCTGAGAGTTCCGAGAAGCTAAGAATTCCATCCACCTAAGCTGGTGTACGTAGTGGTGAAACCCAAGAAGGATCCTGTCTCAAACGAGATGGAAGGTGACAACACATTCACACACACACACACACACACACACACATGCACAAGCACACGAACATGCACGCACACACACCATATATACGTATAAAGAACTTTTAAAAAGAAGTCTGTGCTCATATGATGGCAAAATGTTCAGGACCAACATGTTCCATATGAAGAGTCGTTAGTCTGCAGCATACCACAAAGTGTGGCTCAGGCCCTTTAGGAATGCTTGTTCTCTCGGTAAAGCAGAGACAGGTAAGAACATGAAATTCATGTAAGTGACTGCAACACTAGAGACGTTTATCTCTAGAATATACAGTCTGAGCTAAGTTTGGGGCACAGAAGGAGAAATGGTAGTGCTGAGGAAAGCTGGTCTGCTCTGCTTGACGGTTTTGGCAGGCTTCTGAGAGGAGGTGAGGGAGAGGATGCTGGTGGATGATGGAGAAATGGCCCTGGTGAAGGAACTGAAGGAAGAGTGAGCCAGCAGAGGGAATGTGGAGTGACATGTGTTCTTCTGGTTAACAGAGCAGCACAGCAGCCATGGTCAGCAGATAGAGTTGAGATTTAAAAGAGTTGCTCTCCACCTCAACCACTGCTAAGAAATGGGGAGCTTGGAAGCCACAGAGACAAGTGCCGAATCATGACTGTGAACCTATCATTGACTGTGACACAGGAGTCAGGAAGCTGTGACTGCAGCTTTTGGATACAGAGCCAAGTGTTCAAGTTCGGTCTCACCGAGGGGTTGTTTGTAAGAAGAACCCAAGTCACTCTCTAAAATGCAATGTGATGGAGTCTGGTCGTTCATCTTCTGCATCAAGGATGCCCGTGTTCACTGCCCCATTTAAATTCCAGTGAAGAAACAAAACAGCTACATGCTCCTGATGCAACCATTGCTCACACAACCCCCTCCACCAATCCATCCCTGTTTGTGGCCATTCATCTAACTAAGAGATGTCAGAGGCTGTGATGATAGGACTCAGTACACAGACCACATCTGGAGCCTCAGCTATAGCTAGACTCACAGTCTGATTACTTACTGACTGCCATCACTCTTCAAGTAGAGGATAGACATGTACAGAGGTACAGTAAATGAGACTGTGTGTGACCAGGGTCATCAGTGGCCTTCAGGTAAGCTAGCTCTCAGAAATGGAGACAAGAGGGCCAGAGAGATCCTGATTTTTGTGTTTCCTGTATCCTTGGTTTAACCACCAGTGCCATGCCAGATTGCAAGCATCCGAAGTGCTGCCACTGAAGACTTAGGAAGTCATGGGGAAAACCTCCTGATTGCCTCCCAAACATGAGGAAATGAATTTGGAAGCTCAATATCCATGTAAATGCCAGGTAGGTGTGACCAGATGCTTGTAAGTCCTGTGCTCCAGAGATGGAGACAGCAGATCCCCAGAGAAAGCTGGTTGGGTAGATTATCTGAATCAGCCAGCTCTGGACTCACTAAGAGACTCTGGCTCTCTATATCAGGTGTGCTGCCTACCTCTGGCCTTCAAACACATGCACTGGCTTTCATACATGTGAACACACCACACACACACAGAGGCACACACCACACCATTTACACATGCATGCAAACAAACCACACATGCACACACACACACATACACACATCATGAGAACTGTTCTCAGGAATCCATGTGGGTTGATTCCAGCACAAACCCCTACCTGAGTCTTCTGTTGTGGCACTAGTCTGTGACTCTCCCCAAAACACAGCACTGATTTGGGTTGACTTCTTTGTTAGTGACTGATGTCAGCAGGCACACTGTCTTGGTCCTTTCTCTCTCCACTGTCTGTATTCCACAGGTCAGGTCAGCCTTCATCTGGGAGTGTATTTCAATCCTCCATTCAGGGCCTAGAGGAACAATTGAAGGGCAGGTATGGGTCAGTCTGTCCCATACTCACTCATTTGACCCAAACTCCATTAATTTCCAGGATCTTAAGTTCTTACTCAACCCATGACGAGGGAGTCTCATTTACCAAGAGCTGGTGAAAAGCCCTGAAAAGGCTGGCGTTTCTCTTCGGTCAGTGCGCTCACTCCCCTGAACGACCACTGTTGCCTTGGAGGGAGTTTGGGAAGGAGGGTTACAGCATCAGCTTGTTATGTCATGTGCTGTATACAGGACACCGTTCTCCTTCTAACCTGATGTGGTCTAGGAATTTGGTGAAGATGCATGCCCCTGTGATGTTCTTAAACACGCTGTCATTTCGCTAGATCTCAACGTCTCCTCCCCTTTCTGCTGTTTGTGTAGGATCCTGATGCAGTGCCTCACACATGTTAGTTCTTACTATCCACAGTCAGCCGGCAACTACAGGTCCCTTTATCTGCAGGTCCCTCTGGTTCTGTTGCTGTCTGTTTACCTCTACCATACTTGTATTTCTTACATAGCCAACGCTTTATTTGTAGTTTTACAACATAACCAATGCTGGGATCTGATTACCCAGGAACAGGGCTGGGGAGATAGCTCGGACAATAAAGGGCATGCCACACCAGTAAGGAACTTGGCATCACCCCCAGAACTCATATAAAAAGACAGGTATAGGGCTGGAGAGACCATTCAGCACTTACGAGCCTCTATTGCACTGGTAGAGGACCTGGATTTAGTTCCCGGCTCACACATAATGGCTCACACCATCTGCAGCTCCAGTTCCAGGGGATCGGACCTCCACAGGCACCAGTCATGTGCGTCCATCCATACAGCCACAACACTCATTCACGTTCAGTAAGAGCCTTGAACACCTGCAGCTGAGGCACAGGGATTCGGAGACAGGAAGATCTGTAGGGCTCACTAGCCAGACAGCCTCGCCCAGGACTATTGAGAGACCACTGTCTCAAAATGACATGGGGAGTGGCTGAGGAAGATACCTGACATCCACCCGTGACCTCCCCACGCGTGTGCCCACACATACTCACATACCTTTCACATGTGCACCCCCCCACATATGCATGCCCCTGAACATGCCTATTCATGTATGTGCACACACATGTAACCACACACACAAAACGTACATTCTGTTCTTTTCCATTTCCTTCCCCTTCCCTTCTTATCTCTCCTTCTTCCCACTTTCCTTCCTTCACTTTCTCTTCTCCACTTCCACCTCACTGACATACGAACTTTATAACTGGCTCCCTGAAACACGAAGATTGTCTTATGGCGGATCTGGAGGCTAAGTCAAATGTTGAGGGTGGAGGACAGCCACAGTCTCTCAGCAAGCAGGACTAGCTTTCTTAGGTAGGATAGGAGAGGTGGTCTCTGCCTGTGGGAGATACTTGATGGAGTTGTGGGGATTTCGGGTGATTAGATTTACCTGAAACCCCCTGGATACCATCACTCTGATTTGGGGGGGGGGACTGTGATCTTAATGACCCATTACTCTGACTTTCACATAAGGAATCCGGTGAGGCTGTGAGGTCAGCCAACACTGCAAGTCAAGAACCTGGGGAATGAAAGTCTGCATGTAAACTTGGACCCCATTCACTCACTAGCTCTGAGGGTGATGCCACTGGTTTAAAGCAACCTGGGATACTTTGGGGACTGTCCTGATTCTGCAGAAGTATCTTGAGCCCTGCACTGAGTGCTCTGTTATTTCTCTACTGTTATCTCTGGAGTTCACACTGCAGTCATGGCCACAGTTCCTGTTTGTGGACCAGGTGGGCACTACCGGGGGGAGGTTAGGTTGGAGGGGAGCCTGTAGGCTGGCAGACAGGGCCAGTGCCTGATGGGTGGTTTGGTGGAGATGTCAATGGAAGGCCCAGTTTTATGAGGAGGCTATGCTAGCAGCAGGGGCTGGGAATAGCACAGGAAGAGAAAAGATGCTGCTATTCACTTAGCCTCCTGCACATAAATAGGGGTAAATAGGTGACCTGTATCAGTAAGTCCTGCACATAACCAGCCTCCACAAGGGATGAAACAAGGAAGCTCTGCCAAACTCAAAATCAGGGCTTAGCAAATGCTAGTTCTGATGATCACTAAATTAAGTTATGGATGGAAGGAACTGATGAGAGGCTGATAGGGTGGTTTGCAGAGGTGGGCAGAACTGACAACTGTGAAAAAGATACAGGAGGGAAGAGCAGTGGAGGAGGTTGGTGAAGGGCCCGGCTGCACTTCTCTTTCTTGTTCCCCTCTAACCTCATCTGTTGGTAACAGCTCAAGGTAAAATTCACATGCTATACAGTTCAGCCATGGAAATCATACAACTCAAAACGGTTTTGATTATATTCCCACATGGTGCACTCATCACTACAAGCAACTATAGGACGTTTTCATCATCTCAAAACCAAACCAAAGACTGAGGGTACGGCTCAGCGGAAGAGCACTTGCCTAACGTGTGGTTCCATCGACAGCTCTGCAAGCAAGCAAACAACTCCTCTGTTTTCTTCAGCTGTCACCCCCGATTCTCATCACCCCAAATCAAAGAACCAACTAATCTGTTTCCCATCTCTGCGTTCCTAGGTTGGCTATTTCACAGAAATGAAGTAAAACTGCACACCAGCCAGACTGTTTTCTAAAATGGCCTTTTTTTTTTTTTTTTTTTTTTAGCTAGAAGAAAAACTTCAGCATACCAGAGCACTGGTGGTAGACTGTCAGACAATAGCAGCAGATGAACACGTGTCTGTATGTGTGTTCGTGAGCGTGTGTGTGTGTGTGTGTGTGTGTGTTTAGGAAAGGGCAGGATTTGCAGGCTCAGACTTTACGTCCTTAGACTGTAATCAGAAAAACCAACCCCTGCTTGGTTTTTCTCTTGCAACGTGCTTAGAAGGGAAAATGGCAAAAGCCAACAGAAAACAGAATCTAGGAGGTTGCCAGTGAGTCACTCAGTGCTCAGGCCGCTGTGCAAGGCAAACCTGGGGAATCGCTGCCCTTGGGGCTCCCTTCTGGAGTGAGGGCCAGCTGATGGAGTGAAGGCCCAGGAAGAAGAGACCAGACAGAGCTGGTGTGACAGGTGGAGTGAAGAGAGGGATGTGAGAGTGGAGCCCACAGCAGATTGTCACAATGAAAATACTGAATCAGCGGAGGGGAGGGAGGACCACACAGAAGACTGTGTAGAGAGGTCATTGGGAAGGCTCTGACCTGTCTTCTGCAGGGGCAGAAAGTTATGCAAGGATGATGCAAGAGGCATATGTGTTTTTTGTTTTGTTTTGTTTTGTTTTGTGTGTGTGTGTGTGTGTGTGTGTATGTGTGGGCATCACTGGGTGGCAGCAAGTTGAAGTTGGGGGTTCTGGCATAGCAACCCCACAATAGAATTAAGTGACTTACCAAGTCCACTGCTCTTGTTTTTATTCTCCTCCATGCCTCCTGAGTCAAGGAGAGAAAAAAAAAAAAAATCAGCCTGGAGTGGCAGGAACCCACTACGCCCTGTTTGTGCACTGCAGGGGCTGAACCCCGGGGCTTTGAGCACGCGCTGCTCTAGCTGAGCTACCTCTCCAGCCCCTATTTTTAGACCTCAGTCAGTGTAAAGAAAATTATTACTTGGATAACGGTAGGTGGTACACAGATATGACAAAGACGGTGGTGACTGGGTGAAAAACTGAGCTCGAGGAGTGTCGGAATCGCTGTGAGCTCAGTCCGTGTGTGACTCATGGGTTACCACTCGGGGAACTCCATTGAACTCAGCCAGAGTGGCTTCCAAACCCTCAGACCTCAGTCACAGACACCGTGTGTAGGGAAGCCTCTAGCTCCTGCACTTCCTGTCGGACGGGAAAGGACAGTTTACACATCTGTCCCTCTTACCAGACATAGTATCTGTACTGTCCTTATGTCCTCATGACACATAGGATCCTTTAATACTTTTTAACTAAGGGCAAGAAAGAATGAATGAGCCAACAGTTGTCTTCTCCCTGCTTCCCTAACACAGTAGGTAGCTGGCCTGCACATCCCTTTACAAATTCATTGTAAAACTGAGCAGCTGCTAGACAGTGCAAGACGCCCTGCCCTCAACTTCCTTGAACCAGCTTCATTTTTTTTTTTTTTTTTTTTTTTTAGTCAATAATCAATTTACTTGTTGTGCACAGTGGGGATCAGCATGCTGTGGTTGGAGGCGAGATGCGATCTCTTCTCTCAGCGTTGCGGTGGGGGTGCTGGAGCCAGGCAGACCCCGGGCTGCTCCCTCCTCCGAAAGCTTGGTATCTGGGACACTTTGGATCATTTACGGTTTGGAGAGTCTCCCCCAGGTGTAAATTGGGTTTGAATGTATTTAACCGACAAGATGATCCTGAGTCACCTTGGTAAATGTTTTAAGTGTAGGAGACAGCGAGGGAAAAGAGTAAGTGGATGACATGAAATGAGGCCGCCCCTGCTCTGGGGGACAGCATCTGGCTCCTTTGCCCTAGCTAAGGATCGACCTGCCTGCTGGTTGAAGATTTCAGGTCTGCCAAGGGAAGTCCTAAGCCCCAAGCTTTGTTTAACCCTGCACACATAGAGTGAAATGGGCAAAAATACATGCTGGGAAAACCCTTTTCCGCGGTGAGCCCTCAGCCTTGTGGCTGGGCCTGTGGCAGGGGCCTTTGGGCAGGTGACTCAAGGGGATCACCACTTGCTCTCTAGGCTTCAAAGCACCCTGCTGCTCCCTCCCTCAGGAATGTGGGCAGTGCGGTGTTGGCATGGTGACCAGCCATCCTGTCCCCCCCTTCTCTGCATCCTGAGGAGTAGAATGGGGCCCCTGCCAGCTCCACTGGCTCCAAATGGTAGGGAGAGCCTAGTCCAGGAACAGAGGGGCCCTGGAGCTCAACAACTGCCCGGGAACAATGAAGCTGTTGCCCTGGCAACGGAGAGTGGCCTCTCCCTGGGCCTCAAGGCTGAGTCTGGGAATAGGTGTCTTAAGAACAGGAGGCGGGAACAGAGGGGTCTGGACTGTTTTCAGAGCTGCCTGTCACTAAGGAAGGATGCAGGGCTTCTCTCCAGAGAAGATGACCATTGTTGGAGGCATTGCTGTGGAGTCCCTCATGAAGGAGAGGGACAGGAAACAGTCTAGCTATCTGACCAGGACCCGTCTCTGATTCTCATCCCCTCCTTGCAGCTCTCACAGCTTCTGACATCTGGTCAGGAGCAGTGGATGGTAAAGTTGGCACTCGGGGCTGACTGAATGGCGACTGTCACTTTGGGGTCATCCTGAGAACTCTGGGCTGTTTGTGGGTGCTGCAGGCACAGGTTGGAGTGTGATGTTGATATGCTCAGGACAGGGCCACGGTCTCTGCTCTCGGAGCCTGAAAGCTAACAGACCCTTCTCCCAGAGGCCCTGGGAGGTTTCCGAAAGTCCTTACTTCTTGGACAAAGCCGTTCAACTTCAGATCCAGCTGCAAGGCTCCAGGGAAATAATTTCAATCCTCTGTGTCCAGTCTCCCCGGATGGAAAGCAGGAATCATATCAGGATGGCATGTTGGCACTGAATAGGACAGACATCTCTAGTCTTGAGGGCACAGAAGTGTCTGCTCCACTTGTTTCTCCATTCAGAATACTGCAGCTCAGGTGTTTTGTGCCATTAGGCAAACTGTCCAGACATGTGTCCACAGACCCCCATCCTTCCTGAAAGCCCCCTTGTGCTGATTAACCGATAGAGGACCAGGGTTCAGGGAGGACATCCCTCTATCTTGGTGGTGGCTGGCTTTGAGAAGGGTTAGTTACAGGCTCCTCTCGACTGTGTGCATTTCCCCATTTCCCCTTTGAATTTCGGTTGATTTTGCTATAAAGAAAATGAAGGATTAAGAAAGGGTGAGGTGCTTCTTGAAAACGGCCTGCAAGCTCAGAGGCATTGGGGGTGGGAATCTTGTCCCAAAGGTGTTCCTGGCACTTGCGTGAAGGCAGGTGGCAGGGGAACACCTGCCTGGCTGCTGGCCCGCCCACACCTTGCATCCTATGGCTTGCCCACCTCCATAATCGGCACCCAATATCACGATTAGGAAGCCTGCGTGGGCGTTGGGGGAGATGAAGGCAGGAGACAGGCTCATAGCCAGACTGTCTCCTTTCAGAACTCGTGGCTCCCTCTTGTGGCTGCGAGACCTCACGACCAGCAGAGTCCCGTCCCGTGCCCTTGGTGGCTAAGAAGCTCAGAGCTATCCTGCTCCTCAGGAAAGGACACACCAGGCCAGACTGGCTTCTGAGCTAGCCTGACCTGACCCTTGTGCAGTCAAAGTAAAATCATATCTAGGTAAAGTCTTATTGGAGGCCAATCTTTCTTTTGTGCTCCCTCCCAAATAAGAACCTTGCTGGAATCTCTAGGTGCTCACTGGAAGGCTGACTGCAGACTGAGCTGCGGGGTCCCAGTATCTTCTACTCAGGGACCTTGTCCGCACTTATGGTCTGTGAGTGAGAAACTGCATGAAAAGCTTGTGGACTGTTTTGGGATCTCTGTAGATCACAGTACTAGGCTGTGCCTGTCACGGTCTCTAAGGGCAGAAACTTAAAAGCTGAGAGGCCAGCTATTAACCCGTGCTTCCACACAGGGTCGTGTGCTCATGCAGATCTGAGATCCTCTTTCTGGACCCACGGGGAGCGTCGAAATGATATGCAAATTAGGACTCACAGTACCTTTACACAGAGAGGGTCAGTGCCAGCATCAGCTTCTCAAAGGCCCTTAAACCCCAACAGAAGCAAAAGGAAATGCTCATCAGCACCGTGCGCCCTGTCCCCGACAGTCACTGTGGGAGGGGGCAGACATTGTCTTTGGTTCTGTCTAGGGATCCTCTGGGCTGTCCTCAGAGACAGATTTAAAACTACAGAAGAATTTCAGGCTCATTTTTCTCCTAAGCGCATTTCATTTCTACCCCCGGAATGACCCAGCCTGATCATCCTCCTTAGTCACCAGCTTTGGATCAAAATGAGTGTTAGCTGTTTCTACAATCTCCTTCCCCTTAACAAGGCACAGACATGTCGCCCTCAGGAGTATTCGGATGAATGTGACTGCGGGTGGGCGGGCTGTATTGCTGTAAGAGCTCTTGAGTCTTCCCTCTGGCATTCATAGGGGGAAGGGAATGGCAAAGTATTTTCTGGGGTGACTACTTTGTAGTTGGATGGTTTAGTAACTAAATGATGATGGATTGTACACAGCTGACCTGGGGGACACCCACAGGGCTAGAAGAGGCATAAAGGTGGAGAACTGAGCTGGTGTGGTAGCTGGGAATGTGCCATAGAACACTCAAGAACGCTCACAGCTGGGGATGCAGCTCAACTGGTCCAAAGCTTCCCTAATGTGTGCAAAGCCCTGGGTGTGATCCCCAGTGCCACATAAACAGAGAGTGGTGGTACACGTGTCTAATCCCAGCACACAGGATGTAGTGTCAGCAGGATCCAAAGTTCAAGACCAGCCTTGGCTATGTAGTCAGTTCAAGGCCAGCCTGGGTTACATAAGGTATGTTGGGGTGGCTATTCAAGATACTCAAGCACTTGCTCTGGAGCTGGGTAAGACAGACGCTCCAGGTGAAGACCATGGGATGATTCAATTGAGGATATGTAGGGTCCTGCTCATTGAGCGATGCCCCTAACGTTCAGCTGAGTGGTACC